TATCGAGAGATGTCCAGAACACCAAAGCAAATAATCTCACAAATGAACACAGAAAAAGCTCATTGACAAAATATGCATAGTGTATGTTTTTTCACTCATAATTTAAATCATATTATGAAAACCTTAATCCATAATTATTTAGGCTGTGTTAGGCTACAATGAGTCAATAACAAACAGCTAAAGACGAGTTCATGACAAAATTCTATGACATAGCATCTTTCTCTTCGAAAAGAAGATGAAAGAGAAAGAGATGAGTAAGCAAAGAAATAGAGAAAGGCTGGTTGGGACAATCTCGGTTATCTAATACCTGAAGAATGTCAAGTCAAACCAACTTTGAATAATCAATCTGAGCATGACACAAATACCTTGAAAATACCTTGCCAAGAAAAACCATTCTGGGTTTTTACGGTAGCTGACCCCAGAACTGCTTTTACTGCTTAGCCAAGCAACTCCTGCTACAGAGAGAGCAGGCAATTCTAACGCAGAAAAGATTATTCCAAACTCAAGTTGCTTTTTTGTCTCTTTGAGATAAGGCTTTCGATATACAGTTCAAGTATAAGTGCCAAAAAATAAGTAAGGTTAAAGTAGCACGGGAATTTATGTGGGTGTGCTCACATGCACATTTGCAAACTAGAAAATTTTTTAAAAATGATTTAGTCTTGAGCATCCCATACAGAAGATATTTATAAGAAATATATAAATACATTGATATATTTGTATGTACACTTTCAGAGTATCAAGAGTATCTTTGATTTTTATAAAATAAAACCACAAATGCATCACAGAGCTATCTCTTCTAGCACATTCTTCTTGAAATAAGAACTTCAGGGCTCACTTCTTAATATTTATGATTCTAGCATTCCTATCCTATTTTGTTTTATTTTTGTAGGACTAAGTCCTTATTTGTAGCTATTTTCTATAACTAGGATTTCTCATAGACCTTTATTGTACATAAACATAAGCATATTTTAGCTGTGTTTTAATAAAAGAATATATTAATAACCTATGTAACTATATTAGTTGTTAATTTTTTGAGCATAGGATGAAGATTTTCTTTAGCTAGGCAAAAAAATTAACCTCTTCAACTTTTTTCTCCCCCCGCCTCCGCCTAATTTTTTTATAGTGAGATGAAGGCTTTTGATGCAAATTTGAGGAAATAGGAGGCTATTTTAACTTAAATATAACTATAATATAAACTACTTGTTTCTTTGGATTCTGCTTCTGAGTGGTTTTCAGGTGTCTTTCTAGCATGCTATTTTAAGCTAGTTAGCAGGTACAAATGAAATAAATAACTATTGAGAAGGTTGTAACAGCAAGAGTAACAATGAGGTTCAGAAATCAAGCCTGGTTAAACAAAAACACAGCAGAATACACATCGCAGACATAAGAACAATATAGACCATTTAAAAGGCAGGGACTCCGCTGAGCGCGGTGACTCATGCCTGTAATCCCAGCACTTTGGGAGGCGGAGGCGGCAGATCACCTGAGGTCAAGAGTCCAAGATCAGCCTGACCAATATGATGAAACCCCGTCTCTACTAAAAATACATAAATTAGCCGGGCATGGTGGCATGCGCCTGTAATCCCAGCTACTCGGGAGGCTGAGACAAGAGAATCACTTGAACACTGGAGGCTAAGGTTGCAGTGAGCTCAGATTGCGCCATTGCACTCCAGCCTGGGCAACAAGAGCAAAGATCCATCTCAAAAAAAAAAAAAAAAAAAAAAAAAGTGGGGACTCATAACCCTACATTAATTTTCACCAATTCCCTCTTCATTTTAATTCAATAAATACTGTATAGAAAACTGAGAACCTTGATTACAGTATGACTTGTTATGAGGTAGGTATTTTTACTACAAGCTATGAAATTTTGGGGAAAATAACCACTGAAAGATTTGCTTTCATAGATTTCTCAATGTTGCTTCCTACACACAAATAATTCACTTTGAAAATATGTTGTAATTCTCATAGTACTTTCAGATGCTTTCATGTCTTTAAGACAAAGCGTGATTCTCTGTGGTAATATCTACCAAAGTTTTGTTTATATACACTTAAAATTCTAAACACTAAAAGATAAATTTATACACAGAAGGTACTCTTTTCTGATTACAGAGACTTAAATGCCACCCTTCTTAAGAAGGAAAATTAGACTCTACGATTATTCAAGGTCATTTTTTTAAGATCAAGATGTTGTATGTGGCCAAAGAGGATTTCATTTTGAGAAAAAGATAATAGATACAATATATTGCACCATGAACTATGTGAAGGAAGATCTACATGTAACACCTGTACCATTTACTACGAGTGTGACCTGAGACAAGCCCTTCCCTGAGTCTCAAATTCCTTATCTCTTCAGTGAATCTCAGGAAGTGAATTAAATAATGTTTGCAAACAGGCTTCACAAATTATCAAGTGCTCATACATATTGGCGATAGGTATGTGATGTGTTGGTAACAAATAAACACCACACTATCAGGGTTTAATACTATAAAAGTTTGCTTTTCACACATGCAAAGATCATTATAGACCTCAGTTACTTTCTGATGTAACTACCTTCCACACTGTGATTCAGGAATTCAGACTGCGTTGTTTGATGGCTCCACCATCCCAACACACAGTCTCCTTGTTTGCAGGAACAACAGAAGAGAGAGAACTATATGGTCACCATGCAATAGATGTCATTTCTGCCACTAAGACACTGCTCAGGACTAAAGACATAGCCCTACCAAACTGCAAGAGGTCTAGGAAATAAGGGAATGAAGGTGGAATTTTAGAAACTGCCACTATCTTTGACTGTTCTAAAAACAATGCAAAACGTATTACTATTTTCCACCATTCCAGAGGGGAGATAACATATAGGATAGGCAAAGTAATATACTCAAAATCATTTCTATTTATTTAGAAATACATTTACATTTAAGTGTTACTTGAATCTGGAGCAATTGACATGTTTCAAGACCAATAAAGAACATAAAAATAATTGGCTGAGCCGAAGAGCTGGCTATCACCTCAAATGGGAAATCTTTCTCTCTTTGGGGTTAGGTTACTATAGAAAAGACTGGCCAGGAATGAAATATTATGAAGATCATGCTACAGTGGCCTTGGTAATGCTACTTCCACTGATGCTCCTATATCCAGGAATCTTCCAGGTTTCCTACTTTGGAACTAACCTTTTCAACTACAATGGAAGATAGAGTTACTGCAGCCCAAACATTATGTTATGTATCTATCGTTTTCCCAAATGTGAGAAGGAAGATACATTAGCACATTCCCCCAGCAAGAGTGAAAAAAAATTAATTCAAAGTACAAAGCAAACAGAAAGACAATTCAGCTGAATCATTCTAAACAAATCAACAAGGTCATGTCTTAAAAATGGTTTACTGTTGCCTTGTAAGAGCTTGGGGGTTTGTAGGAAGAGAGTAAATACTTCAAAATAATCCAGCTGGAAGGTCAAAGAAGTTAGACGCCTGTGCACTCCTGGCATGTTGAGGGATAATATTTATTATTGACTCTTGGGCAATAAAATCGAAATCCCACATATGCTGGAATTGATTCTCATCGGTTTGGTATAGCTTTAGCTAATGGCTTATAGATTGTGAAATTGTAAGGCCCTGCTAGAAGAGCCTATTAAATCTGGCAATGGAAACAGAAGGTCACTGGGCCAGGGCCAGGTGAATAGATTTCCTCAATCAGTCAGGAAAACCACTCCCTAACAAGGTACCCTACTTCCAGAATCCAGATAAATAGAGACACCCAAAGAGGAGGCATAAGAAATTATGATTATTTTGCATGACTGGGTCTCTATGAATGAAAAATTATGACTGCACAAGGTGCGAATGCTTTTTGAGCACAAAACAAGACCTACTTTAGTGAGTCAGGGCAATCCTCCATGAATTCACAAAGGAACAGAATCAACAAAATGAGCCTTATACTTAATTCAGTGTACTTCGCTCACCTCCCTAAAACCACTCAGCTGAGGGAAACAGACATATGCACGGCTCTTTATCCTAAAGGATTAAATATAAAGAAATGCAGAAAATTAAAAAGATATATAAAAGTTGTAGATTTTGAAAGTTGCTCCCAACATTAACATTCAGAATACCAGATGTTATCTATTATTATATGCATATGGAGAATTTTGAATGCCTGCTTTTAAAAGGGAGAACTTTTTTCTCAAGGAACTCTTGGGAACTCTCAGTTCAGCATTACACACATTAGTCCACAGAAGAGTTCTAAAACAAAATGCTATTATTTTAAGTTGTAGATTGAAAAATTGATTCAAATATGGTACAGAAAATACACCGTCTTCATTCTGGGTATATTTGTAACCATTAAAGATTTGAGAATGCTAAGCATGCACTAGAGTTCCCAGGTTTTAAGTGTTGCTATTGGATCTCTGTGTTCAAATTGCTCACATGATACAAGCTGCTAGCTTGGTATCAATAGCATACACATAGAGATGAATATATTGAATTATACCATGCCTTACTAATATAAAATTGATCTCTAGATGTTTATCATCTAAATGTCCAATTATATCCTCACTTAGTAAGGTCCTGGTAGTATTAGTTAAGTCTTATTCTAAATTGATACCAATAAAGACATGGGTAATACTCTAAAGGCAAAATAAATTAACAGAAAATGTACATGTTGCAAGTGTGCGCCTACTTATATAGTATTAGAAATGGTCTGAAAGAACCACAAGATGTAATTTTATGCAAAATTATATATCAAGTGACTAACCATTGTATTGTCTGTTAATAGTTTAGGCTGATGTCTTGATAATCTTACAACTCATCTTTCCTCCTTGTAGGATTCATAAGAGATTATACGGAGAAAATAATTCAAAATTGTTCATATGCATTTAGAATAATTAGATGAGATATGCAATTCTGAGTGTTAATATTGGAAAGAGCATAAAATATGCATTTTACATTTTTAAATTTTTCCTTATTTATTTACATTTAGCTATTCAAGGTAATGTCAAATAGGAAAAAGAATACCATTTTGTTGATATCTGGGAAACAATACTTTCCAGTGCAGGGATTATCTGATAAACTGTGCTCCATAACGTTATAATTTCATTCTTCTTCCTTTCTTGCCCAGTACTGAAAAAAAGAGAATGGCTGGTTTATCTCAAGTAATCACATATTTAATAATAATATAGAAAATATGCTCTATAAAATCACAAAATAGAGTAATTATTCTTCCACAACACATCTGACACAGTGAACAAAACATATTATTGCTTTAGGAAATGAACAATTTGTGGTAACATTTTTTAAACTTGGTATATGTGGCTCTGAAAGACATGCTGAACAAATGGAGAGCCCGAGGAATATCAAGGAAAACTAGTTATAATCTTGGTAATTGGTGTGATCTCACTTACATTTTCAAACAATGCATAGGACTGGTTGTCTATCATACTTTGGCACCAAATCAGAAGGTGGTACTTCTAAGAGACACCTCAAGATTTCTATCTCAATAACAAATTATTGCATTGTACAGTAGGGCACATTCTGCTATAAATAAAACCAGAAACATTCTAGTTATATAAAAATATTGAACAATAGTAGCAATGACAACAGGCTATCCTTGCACTTTCTCTGCCTAAGTTTCACAAGCAGACAGAAGGTAGATACTATCCTATATAGTAGATGAAACCTGTATATAATATTGTATATAAAACATTGATTATTCACAATTTCATAGACATGTTTAATGAAGTAGAGGAACATGTTGGGGACCAATTTTTATTAAAAAGTTGTTATTAAATTATCATCCTGAAAACAAAGTTAGGGATCACCTAGCAATTAGAACCTTACTGAATTGAGTAGTGTCTTTTCAAACTACATATACTGCATTGTTTCAAAACACTAAGGCCTGAGTCAAGTCTATAAGTCACTATGAACAGCCCTGGATGTTGGGAGATAAGAAAACCAATGAAGTCTCCATTGAAATGTGCACTGGGGTGAGGTAGTCTGTGGATAGTTATGAGGGGATTTGAAAACTTACCAGAGGAGACTTCTTTTAGGAGACAGGTGAAAAGGAGGCATTGCAAATTCTTAAAGGATGAAGAGTAGGGGCAGTTCTAGAAAGCAGAGTTCAGGGTGAGTAGAAAGGGAGAGAGATTGGGGTCAGTTCAGAAAGACAGTAACTTAGCAAGAATAAATGGAAGTTAGAGTAAGATTTAGCTAGAAACAGAAGCGTGGGATAAGAGGATGAGTAAATCCTAGGCATTTCATAAAAAGAAGCAACAAACCCTGTAGAAATACTAAATATGGGAAATGAGAGTAAGAAATTATAAACACGCTTCTTATAAGTGTATGTGAAATGAGATAACTCCAAACTTTTCTATGAAAACCGGAAAAAATAGCCGTCAACACAAAATTCGAAACAAAGACAGGGCAGTAAATCTGAATCAAGAGGGCTAAACATGTAGCATTTACTAAATGTATTACCAGTGAAATACTTTCTTTGTTGAACCTGACCTTGGGCATGTTAAATTTGAGTAACACAAGATATCCAATTATTTTAAGGTTTTCACTGACGGGTAAGAATTGAATCTCTAAAAGCGAATGAATTCAAACTTAGAGAGAAGTTGCAAGAAGACAAATAGCAAATTATTTTCTAATGTTTTTAGTTACTCCACCAATAATTGCCAAATAGGTTTGGTTTGCTTAAAAATAACAGATACAGTTATTAAAAATCATAATTTTCAGTGAAGTCTAACTCACAATTCTATCAATAGAGATTTTATGCTCTTGTTCCTAAAAATGAATAAAATATATCATTTTGCACCTGTCTTGTGGCTTTTTTGTAACAGAACTCCAGGTTTTTAAAATTCCCCAAACAACAACAAAATGCAAAATAAAAAAGCAAAACACCCAAAGCCTCATGCTTTCAATTAGAATTCGATGTACATTTCTTCTAGTTGTAATTTTCTTGTCTATCATTCCCCAGATCCCAAATTAGACTTATTTGGCACAATGCCAGAGGATTGGTCTCTAAATCATAATGACACTCAGCTTTTATATACAACACTATTGATAATATCAGCAGCAAAGCTGGGCAGAGCTAGAAAGGAATAGGCCACAGATGTAGTTCCAAATCTGGCAGAGTGACTTAAAAAACACAACACATTCAATATTAAACACTGTTTAAAGAAATTAGACACACACTAACCATCAGTAGGGGCAGGGAGTGGGTGGAAGAAAGATAGACAGATAACATCTAATTAAAATATTTTGAATCATGAACATTAAAAGTGTGTGCAGTTGTGCAGTATTTTTATTCTTCAAAGTAAGTTTAATGTAGTTAGACACTCCAAACACTTTTCAGAAAGGAGTTAAGACAGTTGATCTTAAAAACATGAAAATATTTTATCCACATGTGGGTTAGTTGGCATGTGAGTTTAGCAATAAAGATCTCAGAACAACCCCACAGTCAAAAAAGCTTAAACCAGATGTCAAGAGAAAATGGAGTACCCCTTAAATTGAAACATTGATATAAACTTGAAGTATCAATTAGCAACTGGGAAAAGATAATACTAGAAGCCGGCTTTTCATATTTTTAAAATCTGAAAAAATAATTTTGTGCAACAATTTTACCAAAAAGAGGATTTCAGATTTTAGAACAGCACTGTAACTAAAAGATCTTTAGATAACTTTGACACTTTTGATTAGTCTACATACAATAAAGATTTTATTTGATGTTAAAATCATATCAACCTATTTCTGTTTTAGAATTTTAAAAAGCTGGTACATATAAGTGTGTATGTTCACGTTGACATAAATCCTTCTGAAAATTTAGTGTGGCAGATTTTCTGTAATATTGATAAACTTTTGTGCTATTAAGTACGTAGCCAAACCATATGTATATTCACCATGAAAACAAATAGCAGGGAAAAGAGTATACCACCACAAGTAAATCACCATGGGTCTTGATGACTACTAAGATAAATGAAAAAACATTGCTTCTGTTGACATGCCAAGAATGGCATAATGAGAAGTTCATATGTGTTTCTCTAAGAAATTCAGCCCTGAGAAGAGTCTTTTGACTTTATTTTTACCTTACTTTAGGGGACACTATTATTGACACAAATGCATACAAACCATCCTAGTCTTGGAGTTGGGCTTTCTGATAAACAGTTTTTCAGATTAAGTAAACGACATATAATTGTCATAATAAATTCTTTAGCCTCAAATGCTTCTTGAGAAGCATGACCTCAGAATTGTGGAAAACTATTCAAGATCAGTAATAATACCAATATGACAACATAGCATGTATAGATATTAACTCTTGTATTCAAAACCATTGCAAAGAATCACTCAAATTCAATTTCCCTGTATAATTTGTATATCTTGATTTAACTTGTCAGTTGCTGTAAAATTGTTTCCAAAATGCATGCAAAGATAGCAGAGGAAGGTTGCCTCATTCTGTGAGCACATTCTCTCTAGGAGCCACCAAAAATGTTTATTGAAAGTGATCCTTAAAAATGCAACAGGAGGTGTAATGTGGAAGCAACCAATAAATAAGCCAGATACCATCCAGGATGAATAAACCTTAATCCCACAGGGAAATTCTGGGAAAAGGTGCAAAACCCATGGCTCAGAACCTTCCCACTCAAAGGACAAAGGAGTTGCAATATTTATCTACCAATTCTCAAAAGCTATTTGAATAGAATTTCTGGGAGAAGGTTTTGATTTTTTTGGCACTTCGAACTTGCTGTGCACATGGGCAGTGTGACTTTCTGCAGTTTCTTTGGAAAAAAAGTCATCAAACTCAGGTATTCTGATTATGGCAATTGGAAAGGTGGCTGGAATATACTAAAAAGTCCAATGAATATAGAAACAGTACTGACACTTCTATTAAATCTTTCTTTCGAGGGGAATAAAAAATATCCTTATTTTTCTTCTCCATTTTTGCTACTCTTCAATTCTTGAGAAAATAAAAGAAAAAACAGAAAGCACATCTGAAGAAAGCCCAATTTAATTTAACTGAATTTTAAAGTATGAAATTCACAAAATTAATTCTCCGATATAGAATAAATAAGAATATAACACTTTTTTTCAGTTTCTTTCTACTAGAGACTAAAATTATGTATTCATATTAATAACCCTTAGCTCCATAAATTTGATTTTGATTCATAAGAATTATATGTTTTGCCAACATCTTGAAAAATTGACACAAGTATACATATGCAACAAACCTGCACGTTATGCACATGTACCCTACAACTTAAAGTATAATAATAATAAATAAATTTAAAAAAGAAAAAGAAAAATTGAAAGTGCACAGACTTTAAGTACATAGTTCATGTGTTTGGGACATTGTATAAATTTATATATCACCACTCAAATCAAAACATGAAATATTTCTGTCACCTCAGAAACTTTTCAACTACTACTTGCTAGTCAATACATTCCTTCTTTGCACTCATTGTCCTCATTTCTATTACTTTATCCCTTCTAGGCTTTGGTATAAATGAACTTATACTGTATGTACTCTTGCCTATGGCTTCTTTTGTTCAGTGTCTCAAAACCCATCCACGTTGTCGCATGCCTCAGTATTTTATGACTTTTTTATTTCTCAGGAGAATTCAATTGAGTGAACAGACCAGTATTAGTTTTTCTACTGTCCTGTTGATATGAATTTTAGATATTTTGAGGTTTTGGCTATTATGAATTAAAACTGCTGTAAATATTTTTGTCAAGTTGATATGATTTGGCTGTGTCTCATCTCAAATTGTAATTCAAATTGTGATCCTCATGTATCGAGGGAGGGACCTGGTTGGAGGTGATTAAAATATGGGGATGGTTTCCCTCATGCTGTTCTCATGATAGTGAGTAAGTCTCATGAGATCTGCTTGTTTGATAAATGTGGAGCTCTTCTCGCCTTTGCTCTCTTCTTCTCTCTCCTGCTGCCTTGTGAAAAAGGTGCCTGCTTCCCTTTTGCCTTCTGCCATGACTGTAAGCTTCCTGAGGCCTCCTAGCCATACTTCCTGTTAGACCTGCAGAACTATGAGTCAATTAAACCTCTTTCCTTTATACATTACCCAGTCTCAGGCATTTCTTTATAGCAGTGTGAAAACGAACAAATACACAAGTCTTGGTGGACATATGTTTTTCTTCTCTTAGGTAAACATCTAGGAATGAAATGGCTAAGTCATCAGGTAGGTTTTTTCTGTTCTGCTGATTTATTTGCCTATCCTTATCTAAATACTGCTTTCTGGATTGCCATAGTAATCAGGGAGTATAAGTCCACCAAATTTGTTGTTTTTCAAGATTATTTTGACTCTAAGAAGTCATCTACATTTTCATACACATTTTTAAGTGAGATCATCAAATTTTACAAAAAAAAAGCTTACTGAGATTTTTGTTAGAAGGGTATTGAATCTGAGAACAATTTTAGAAAAATTTATATCTTAACAAAATTTAGTTTTCCAATTCATTTTTTTTTTTTTTTTTTTTTTTTGAGACACAGTCTCACTGTGTCACCTAGGCTAGAGTGCAGTGGAGGGATCTTGGCTCACTGGTAACTTCTGCCTCCCGGCTTCAAGCAATTCCAGAGTGGCTGGGATTACAGGCGCCTGCCACCACACCTAACTAATTTTTGTATTTTTTAGTAGAGATAGGGTTTTGCCACGTTGGCCAGGCTGGTCTTGAACTCCTGACCTCAGGTAATCTGCCCACCGTGGCCTCCCAAAGTGCTGGGATTACAGGTGTGTGTCATCGTGCCCAGCCTAGTGCTCCAATTCTTGAAGACAGTATATCTGTCAATCTACCTATCTTCTAAACGTTTTCTTAGAAATGTTTTCTAGTTTCTTGTACAATGTTTATGGTGTTTATAGTTAAGAGGTTTCCAAGACAAATTTTGATATGCTGCACAAATTTTTATTATCATTCAGGTAAAAACCTTTTTCTAATTTTTCTTGTGATTTTTTTCTTTGACTTATCCATTATTTAGAATTGTGTTGCATAAATTCTAAAACTGTGCAAGATATTCTAGAAATGATATTATACTGGTTTTTAAATATTTCTAATTGTGGTTGGAGAACATACCCTAAACGATTTTAATATTTTAAAATCTGACTTATTTTTTAGCCCAATATATGGTTTATTATGGTGTTTGTTCCATATACAGTTAAAAATGAGGTACATTTTAGTGACTTATTAATGTCAATTTGGCCAAATTGATGTTGCTGTTTAAATCTCCTATATATTTATAGTTTGCCCAGGATTTCCTTACTTGTTACATCAATTACAGAGAGAATGGCACTAAAAGCCTGCACTTTTTAAAAATTGTTCTCTTTATTCTGTTAAGTTTTGTTTCATATATTTTGATAGTTTGTTATTAACCATGTGCATATTTGGTAATTATTCCTAATAAGTTGATCTTTGTATTATTATAAAATATTAAACCCTTCAATCATTTTTTAAATTAAATGTACTAATTTTTCCCAATTGTTGACTTCCCATATAGTTCTTTTTAATAATTTTCATATATGTCTTTCAATTTTCCATCTCTTAAAACATGTTTTTCATACATATTTCATTATGTATTTATCAGAGTTATTTTAATGTTCTTGCCTGATAATTCTAATATTGAGATAATCTGTCATTCTGTTCTACTAACACTTTTTTTTTGGTATATTAACAAATCTTGTAATTGGGCATAATACCTTGAATATCTTGTAGATAGTCTGGATTTGTCATTTGCCTCTAATAATTTATTGAGTTTTATTCTGTCAGCCAATTACATTACTAATGGATCTCTTAATATGTGAAGGCTTGATTTTATGCTTTGTAAAGACTGATCTACTTTAATTTTTTTCCTTAGTCCTAGAGTCTCTCTAACTGAATAAGACTTCCTTTCCCCTCCAGGAAGCAGCTGCTAAATTTCTGCTCAGTACTTTAGTTCAATTAATTAATGTTTTCCCCTGGACTACTTGGAATGTGTCCCATTCATGCATAGATTAGAGGTCGGCCAAACATTTGAGGGGTGTTGCATGCAGATTTGAAGGCTCCCTTTTATGCAGCGTCCTCACTTCAAAGACATCACTTTTCAATCTTCAGCTGCTTTTCAACCTCATGCTCCAACCACTGACTCCTCAGGTGATAAAACAGCAGCTTTCTGTATTCTAATTAGAGCATGTCATATCAATGTGGCTTTCACTCAGTGTTTTTTTTTTTTTTTCTTCAAGGAGTGATTCCCCGCTCTGTTTCTGCCTACTTTTGATCACTCTCCAGTGCTTGCAAATAATTCTCTGTGTGTGTGTGTGTGTGTGTGTGCATGTGCACATGTTACATATATATATACACACACAGATTATATATACACAGATATATATACACAGATATATATACAGATATATATACACACACAGATATGTACA